AGAAGTCGGGCCGGCTCCGCCACAACAGCATGGTATCCCCCCGCAGTGCGGTCCACTCCGAGTCGATCACAGGGTCGGCCCCTAAGGCAACGAACCCCCGCCTCAGATGCCTCCTAGGGAAAGGAAACGCCTCTACCACAACAGACGATCAACCCCTTGCCGCCTGACGTCAAGGTGAACTTAGACGAAGAAGAAGATCACAGAGAAGGAAAGCATTCAGACAGACGGGCATAGAAAAAGGTGGTCATTCGGGAAAGAATGGGTAACATCTGGAACGAGTCCATGTCCGATTAAGTTTCTTTTTTTTGTGAGTGTGATCGTTTTTTTTATCGTCGTCAACTGATTTTCTCTCTTGTGACAAACATGCAAACAAGAGATAGAAGACAAACACCCTGTCCCCATTTTCATTGACATGACCAATCTCGTTTTCAAGCTTTCTTTTACCTACCTGCACATCAGATCAAACAACAAGTTCAAAGGAAAACAATGCGATTCACACTCACGTCAGACTTTCATTCACACACGCAAACACACATCTTCTCTACCTATCCAGTGAACATTCAAAGAATAGGGCCAAGCAAGTGTGGGTTTACACAGGTGTGAAGGGGTCTGAGTCAAACAACTGACCTTGAGTGAAGTTGAAGAGACGGCCCACTCAAGAAGACCGTGTAAAATCACACTCCAGAGAAGACAATCGTCACAACAAGTCGCCCGCAAAACGATCTACACTACTTTCTAGTACGGTCGCTTGCCGCGACACCCTCTCAACACACAACCACCTCCCAGTAATCTGACGACGTCTCAGCGTCTCCGCCACCAACCGCACCACCACGCCGTTGCCGACAATACCAGAACAAAATGCCCCTCACCATCTAAGCGCTTCCACGTCACCACCTATAACGTGCTGCTGCCGCCACAAAAGTTCAGCAGCACGTTCGCGTCGCTGCCAGAAAAAACACCGTCGACGCCAGAAGATTTCGACAGCACCTCCGCGTCACCACCAAAATCTCAGCGATGTCGCTGCAAAAAATTGGCAGCGCTTCCGCGTCACTACCTAGAACGCACTGCCGCTGCCGCAAAAAAAAAACGGCAGCGTTTACGCATCACCGTCAAAAAGCGTCGTCGTTGCCGTGCCAAACAGGCAGAGTTTCCCCTGCACCGCTTGCCGAAGACTCGTCGCCTCCGTGCAAGACGGGCAAAGTTTCCCCTGCGCCGCTTGCTAAAGACCCTGCCGCTGCCGTGCAAAACGGGCAGAGTTTCCCCTGTGCCCCACCAGCTGCAGCGGCAGCTATGGCTGCCCTCMCTCTCATGCTCCCTGCAGACCTCCAGCGCTTCCCTCTCTCTTCACCTTGCTGAGATGGCGGCTATGGCTGTGTTCCACAACTATGGCCACCTCCAGCAGTTCTCTTCCTCCCTCGCCTGCAGACCTCCTCTTCAACCAGCAGCAGTTCCCCCTCCTCTCACTAGCAGCTCCTCCCAGCAACAGCAAGCCAGCATTCACTCAAGTGAATTGCTAGCAGCACCAACCACAAATGATTGCTGGCTGGCTGCTTGCTGGCTGCTTTTATAGTTGTGGGAGGTAGTGGTAGCAGCCTGAGCTCTCAGCCAAAAATTCGAGCTCAGGCTGGGCCCTTGATCTCTTGGTGAGATCAAGGGCATATACCAGCCCCACACAGCAGAAATGGCCAGGTCCACTCATAAAGAAAAGGACCTGGCCCTTTTCCTGCTGTAAAACCAGCAAGGGGGGGCTGTATCTAGCCACAACCCTTGTTGGTCTGCTACTGCTGAGGTTCAATCTCAGCAGTGCACCTTCTTCTAGACCTGGCCAAGTTCAGAGCCAGACTCTTAGCCGGTTTGCTGCACAAGGTGCAGCGAACCACTTGGGAACATGGCCCGGACAGCGGCCAGGTTCAAGCAAAAATTAAGAAAGTTGCCCTCTTTCTCTTCTTCAACCCTGGCCATATTCGGTGCAAGCCCCCTTGCTAGTTTGCTGCACCAAGTGCAGCAAACCGTTTGGGAACCTGGCCCCGACAGTGGCCAGGTACGTTATTTCTTTTATTTTTGCTTCTGCTCTAGCAGCCTCATTTTGCCTCAGTCCACCCCCTTCTTCTTTTCTCTTCTTCTTTTCTTTTCTCCCTTGCCCTCCCCTAAAAATGGGGATGGCAGTTGTCAGATTGGGAGAGGTAGGGAAAGAACTCATGAAAATTCACGAGTTCAAATCCCGACAGCTTCAAAGCGGGGTGCAAAAACTACCCCGACTTTGAAGAATTTTAGAAAAATATTCGCTAGATGAAAACATCTAAAAAAATTCATGCACATGGCGTACGTGCCTGACTACCTACAGAAAAAAAAATCAAGGTCAACAAAATTATTTTGCGCCACCAAAAAAATAGTGGCGCAAACTGAAAAATACAGCTTCTCAGAAAAACTCAGATCCCGTTTTTTTGTTTTCTTTTTCTTCTTTTCTTTTCTTTTCTCTTCTTACCCCCCCTAACAACGGGGAGGCAGCTGGCAGGTCGGGAGGAGCAGGTCCTCCTCTCCCCATCCTCCCATTTCTCTTTCTCTCTCACTCTCCACTCAACTCCAACCCCCTCTTGCTTTCCGTGTGTGAACTGTTGGCCGCGAGATTTCAAGATCTCGCGGCCACAATCATCTGTCCAAAACGAAGTGGGAGTCTTTGTGCTCCCACACAGTCTCCAAGACGAAGTGGAAGCCTTTGTGCTCCCACACAATCTGCAAAGACTGTTTTCCCCTTTTTTTTTTTTTTTTTTGTTGGCTATGCCAACGGCCACGTCAGTGGTCACATCGTGTGGCCCCCCCTAACACGATCTGTCGAATAACAGATCCAAGTTCGACCCCATCCGAGACCAAAAAAGGGGAAATTTTGGTCTTTTCTCGATTTATGTGTGTCATCCTTGCGCAGGGGCCACTTTGATCTGGGCGCGACAGATCTCAGCCGCGCGATCTTGAGGATCGCGCGGTCGAGATTGGCCGCGCCCAACTGCCTTGGGCTGCTCCAAAAGGAGCTAGCCCGGTAAGATGCTTGCAGCCAAGCTTGATCCCGGTACCAAATAGGTAAGAGTCCTTTGTGATAACCTACTGGGCTAGCTCCTATCATGATAATGACAGGAGCAGCTCGCCTATGTGAAGAGCTCGCCCAGTCAGGTTTCCCCCATACCGTGACCTTGCAGGCTTTGCCTGCCCGCTTTTTCCCTATGGATGGCTGCCCATCCACAACTCCGGGCCCGCCCATCGGGTAGGCCTCGGTATAGGCCTGTTGGCCTCACCTTGGCTCGAGGTTAACCCGGCGGCCCAGAAAAAGGAAAAAAAAACTTGCTATTCCTCTCGCACCGTAGCCCTATACTCTGGGCATCCCTCCTTTTTAGCCTACTTAGGCCCTAAATCGCGCGGCTGCTAAGCCGCGCGACATCTTTTAGGTAGGATAAGTCTAGTCTCAGACTTTCTACGACCGCGCACCCCTGCGGCCATGTCGAGACCCGCGGACGACAGGCCATACTGCCGACTCCCGCTGTCTCGAACGGACGTCGTTGTCGTCACATGTCAACGACGTCCCATATCAACGACGTCATACATCAACGACGTCAGGCTTTAGGTTTCTCAGTTATAGGGTTGGTCTGAACAACTTTTGGCAACGTCAATCTCAACCAGTTCCTCAATCCCATAAAAAAATCGGACAGCGACTGACCTTGACAAACTCGGGCAGAAACCCTTACAGGGGTTTCTGTCCCGACAGCGGAAGGTATCGATGGGGAAAGGATTGGTGGGGAAGGTGATGCGGGTGGTAATCTGGCGGAAGGAGAGGTGATTAAGGGGACGGCGGGATAAGGACCGGGGATGAAGCCCGATGCCCCGCATCGGTACGTGGACGAATTGGTGGGCGGTCGGTGGTGGAGGGGGAGGGGTATCGGCTCCGCTGCCGCCTTGCTGGTGCGGCCGAAGTCTTGCCAACTGTCTCTCCATCCTCGGGCTTAGGTGGCTCTGGATCCCTGGCCGGATCGTCGGTGAGCGGCTAGCCAGCTGCGCTAGCGAATTCCAACTGTGTTTTCCCGACCACTATCTCTTCCCTCTTCTGCACCTGGGCCTGCGCCTCGTCACGCACTTCCTCCTCGAATCCTTCGTACTCCGACTCTTCTAGCTCTCCTTGGTCTTCTTCTTCTTCCTCGTCGCACAGCTCTTCCTCCTCCTCTTCTGCACTCTGCTCACCTTCGCTGTGCTTACTATAACTCCCTTCTTCGGGAGTTTCTTCGTCGTCGTCCTCCTCTTCGACTTCTTCTTCTTCCGAGCTCTCTTCTTCCGCTTCAATTTCTACGTCTTCATTCTCGGTAACGGTCCGATCTTGGAAGAAGGCAAGGTCGACTATATCATGCGGGTTCAGGTAACCGCGTTGTGACGGCGGGTTACGGCTGCTTCCAGGTTCCTCTAAGCACGCCGACCACTGAAGATATGGCGCCAAGGTCCGCGTGAGGACGTGCGGGACCGGGCTGTCGTCGCTCTGTGAGACGATCTCAAGAGGGAGATCGTCAGCCAGCTGCGCGAGGGGGATCGTTAACTCGTGCGTGATCGGGTGGCGCTGATCAGGTCGCACTGATCCGAAGAGAAATCCAAGCAAATCGCCCTCCGCTTCCGTTCGCCACGCTTGGACGATCAGCAACTCGAGGTACTCGGCCCACTGTCGTTGATCGTCGTGTCGCGTCCACGTGATGCTTACCCCGACCAGACACACCGATAGCTCTACGAAGTGTTCTCGCCAACGTCTCCACTGACAGGGGCCGAGGAGGGGGACAACAAGCGATTCCACGCGAAAGGAAAGATGCGGGTGGACTCCGGACTGCCAGAAGGTGGGAAGAAGGAGGGGAGATCGAAGGTGGAGATCGGGGATGGGTTCATTGAGGACGGGGGAAGGGGATGAGTTCCGGGAGCACCACCGTCGGCTCGTGCTAGAAGGTTCGGATCCCGTCGAAATCGACGCCGTCCGTGGGAAAAAGGTTGTCTCCGTGAAGCGTGAGCCAATGATTCCACTCCGCCGCCAACTGCTGTGCCCACAACCGGAGCGTCGTCTTGATGGTTGTATGCCGCAACGGGCCGATGGTGCTGATGTCGCCACTGAAAGTGATCACCGTAGACACGTGGCTGATTCCCGGAGCCGATCGTCGATGAACTCATACTGCCTGTGCCAGAACAACCGCCCGGGGACTTCTCGCAAAACGAAACTCAGCAGCCTCATACACTCCCTGGGTACAGAAGAACTGCGCCAGTCGCCGAAGATCTGGATCAAGTCGCGGATGACGTACTTGTTGGATCGCCGAGATGTGACACCGTGGCACCAGCAGCGAATTGCCAAGAGCTCTCTTCGTACGAAAACTCATGGCGATGGTGACGGGGTCGGAGTAATGGAGAGAGAACGAGAGGGAGACGGAGAGGCAGGCAATAAACAGTCATCGTCCTCTTCCGCAGCGGAGGAGAAATCGAATGAATGCGAAGAGGGAGAAGGAGGGAGGGGACGAAGGTAGGACACGTGGCGAATGATCGGTCGAGCCGATCGGCCGCCAGAGACCTACGGCGCAAGCCGCACGATGTTCACGTCGTTGGGTCTGAGTTCAATCACGAGGAATCGCCCGAAGAATCGTGCCGCTAGCTTGCCTTGGCGAGCACATTTCCTTACCTGCACGATGTCCCCCAAATTTGTACTGGGGCCATGGACCCGCATTCTGGTTTCGGGCCTCGTAGCTTCGGACTTGTCGGCCATGGGCCAACTCGGTCATTTTCAGGTGTTTTCGGGCTAGCCTGGGGAGGGATCGTTCCATTAACTCTAGGTGCCGCTTGGCCTTGTCTCGCGCTGTGGCTCTTCTGGCGTTTTCGGGCTAGCCTGGGGTTGAAACGCAAGCGACGCTATTGGTTCTTAATTGGAAGGGCCTCAAGCCCGTCGATTCGTGGGGCATTCCGCAATGGACCGCTAGGATGTGGTCGACGATATCGGGCCAGGGCCTCGGATCCCGTGCCACGATGTTGCGTCGTAGTGCTGTCTTTATCACCCTATTGGCGTTTTCTACCAGTCCATTAGATTGTGACATGTGGGGCGCGGTATTCCGAATGGCGACGCTGTGTATGACCAAATTCCTCAACGCCTCTCCTATGAATTCAACCCCGTTGTCGGTCAGGATCTCTTCCGTATCCTGGTGCATCCCGAGAAAACGGTTGACGTACCACGCGATTTCGGTGGCTTGTCGCGTACGACAGGGGTAGGCCTCGATCCATTTCGAAAAATGGTTGACGAATACCATTAGGACTGAATACTCACAGCTATTAGGGCCAGGGGGCACCATTATGTCAGTAGTATCCATGCTAACTCTTTGAAATGGTCGTTCAACTACCGTTGACACTATCGATCTTGGCGGCTGGATCGGCGCTTTATCAGCGGCGCAGACTTGACAGTTGGCGATGATCTATTTCACATCGTCGCGGATATTGGACCAATACCACTCATTTTTGTCAATAGCCGACTCCGTGATCTGTACGGCGAAATGAGCCGCAGTTTCTTCATGTGCCGTCTTAACCCAGTCATACCTCATGAACGGATGCGGTACAACCATCCAAATCCCACTGCCGTTCGTTTTCCGTTTTTCTAACCTACCTCCTATCCATCGATAATCCCGAGCCCTCTCGTTAGCCCTCCTCCGATCTTCCTTGGTGAAATCCCGGAGGAGGTTACCCACTAAGGTGGCAATCAAGGCAACATCAGTCCATGCTTCGGCCCTTCTAAACTTCCGGGTCTTTTCCAACCCTTCTGACGTGGCATCCAAAAAGCGAGCCTCGGTCGGAATCTTGTTAGTCTGACACAAGGGGCACAACCACAGTTTACTGTCGTTTCTGTATTGGATGCACGAGCCATGGGCTCAGGCGACACACTGTTGACAATCTATCAATTCCGCATACCCTTCCCCGTTAGGACGTATGGAGACTGAGTACACGCGGGAGATAGCTTCACAAAAATAGCAAAATTTGTTAGGCAGGGAGAGGAGAGACGAAGAGGAGAGGGGAGAAAGAGGGGTAGTGAGATTACCTCCGTCACCCATTGCCACCGTTCTGCTTCTTGCCACGTGGGAGAATAACCACTTGTCCGTACTTAGGCATGTTCGTCAAGTCTGGCTCCTTCCAAGGTGTAATTTCCTCACCCTTCGGTACTTTAGCGGGCCGATGCAGACGTGTTAGCCTGTACGCGTTGCCATGCCTTTATGTCTTCAGGTGGATGATGTCGAAGTCGTATTCTTGTAGTCGTACCGCCCAATGCCCAATCATGCCCGTGTAGTTAGTGAGTTTCTTCCACGCCAGCAAGGGTTAGTGATCAGTTATGAGGCGAAACTTCTGCCGGTAAAGATGCGGATGGAAGTGCTGGATTCCCCAGACTACTGCATAACATTCGCCTTGGGGTGCCGAGTCATTCCTTCGCTTGTCTGGCACCGTTCGTGACGCATACTCGATGACATGTTCGCGACTATCGTTCCCCTTCTGCGCTAAAATAGCGGAGATAGCTTCCGGTTGTCAGTCGGTGATGAGAATGAACTGTTTCGAGCGGTCCGGCGGAATCAAAATAGGGGTTGTTGCCAGAGCGTCCTTGAGGGTTGCGAAAGCCTGTTGGCACTCCGCGTCCCAACTAAGAGGCTAGTCCTTCCGTAACAGGTTCGCTAGTGGTTGTGCAATCGTGGCGAAACCCTTGATAATGCGGCGATAGTACGATGCCAACCCCAATAAGGCTCGGACCTACGTCAACGACGTGGGAACTGGGGCTTCTCTTACCGCCGCGACTTTTCTTCAGTCCGGCCATAGTCCTCCATGTGTCACAATGTAACCCAAGAACGAGATTTCCGAAAGGAAAAATTCGCTCTTTTCGAGCGTAATTTTGAACCTAGCATCTCTCAGTGCTCCCAATGTCCACTCGATGTATTGCGCGTTCCCGTGATAGGTCTCCGAGTAGAGAAGGATATCGTCCATGTACACGATTACACAGAAGTTGATCATTCCCTGTGTTAGCCGCGTTTTGTTGACGAAGTTCTGGAATGTCATGTTCATCGCTCTCTGAAACGTGGCAGGCACGTTGCAAATCCCCATCGGACACCGAACCCACTGCCACGTGCCTTCAAACAACATGAAGGTCGTCTTTGGCCGATCTTCCTCCTTCACCAGAATGTGATGGAAGCCGTGCCAAATATCAAACTTGCTAAAATAATTAGCGCAACCAATCGCATCTAACAAATCATCAATCCAGGGGAGGGGATATACATCTTTGATCGTGATTTCATTCAACTTACGATAATCGATGCATATGCGAATTGATCCGTTTTTCTTCGGCACCAACACTACGGGAAATGACCACGGTCCGATGGCCGGTTCAATCCACCCGCTGGCTTCGAACTCCCGAATTCGTTCGAGGGCCTTTTTGCGTTCTATCAGAGAGTATCGGTAGGGCTTGCAGTGGGTTGGGGAATAATTTTCCGTCTGAATTTCGTGTTGAATAATTAACGACAAGCCAATGTCAGTGTCTATCACGCTAATCGCTCCCTGATATTCTGTCAGAATATCCGCGATCACCCGATGAATCTCATGAGGCACATACTGCGGAACGTGTAGTTCAAAAAGTTGATCCCAGATTTGTATGTCAACTTGCTTCGTGTGTGCCTGTTTCACTACGTCGGGTGGTGCAGAAATGAACGAATGGTCCGATCGCCAGGAGAACACCGTGACCATCATCTGGGCATCTTCCTCCCAGATGGCCACGTGTCCTTCCGGGGTGATTCCATCACAGATATTTTGTCATGGCACCGTTTTAGTTGCGATCTTTATTCCGAGTTCGTCCGATTCGGCTTCGAGACGCGCAAGGGGTTCCAAAGAACTGGCCTCTGCCCCCAAACGCAGCAATCGTACTTCTTTTGTCGGTGTCAACAGGGACTTCAAAAGATCCGTTATATCGCAATAGTGTTTTTTATCGTTATATCGGGCGAGGATGGGGGAGATTCCTTCGTATAGGATTTGAGGGGGTTCCAAAGAATCGACCATCCTCGAAATCTATACAAGGGGTTCTCCCAAAATCATCGCCTTGGTCCTTTGGGTGTTCTTGCTGGTTAGTTGCATCGTTTTTGCGATCGTTCTGGGCGGTGGGTAGTAAATACGCTGTTGTGCTAGCTTCAGAATTTCCGGATCATTTTCGTCGCTGCTATCCGCATCCTTCGATGATGACTCATCGTCTGCGGAGTCTTCCCAAGTGATCATGCGAAGAGTCCCCGCTATCATTGGCGAGATTCGCGGGACTGCACTGAGAGTAGTATGAAGGGTTAATCTCATAGGAACTGCATAGGGCTTTCCTCCTGTATTTCGGAGGATAATTGATCATCGCTCGAAATCCAGGTTCGCTCGTAGCGCCACTAGGGCGGGAAGTCCAAAAAGAATGTCGTAGGTATTTACATCTAGCACCACGACATCCCCCAGTGCATGCACCTTTCCCAACCGGAAAGCGACATTGGTCATTCTTCCCACCGTTTTAATCTTCTCTTCATCCGTCGACACGAGATGATCTTTTTCCGAAAGCATGATCAGGTCGTTTTTCCTGCCTGTCCTCTCAACTACTCTCAGCGAGATAGCTAAAACGGCGACTCCTGAATCAATGATTGCATTGTACGGAATTCCCCAGATTTCGATGTCGCATTCCACCAATTTTCAGGGGATGAGTTTAATCCGTAGGAAATGATCATCTTTTTTTATTAGTCCTACCTGTATCGGATCCAACGAGCCCGCCGTATTTTCTTCCGGCGAGGGGCTTTTGGTTTTTACGTTCGGTGTTCGAGCGAGGGCGAATCGTTTCCGATTCGCCTTGCAGTGTTGTAACATCCGCTTATTAGCCTGTTCCGAGATTGAGGGCAAATGGTCGATCGGGAGTGGAATCCGATGGTCCATCACTCGGACGATGTTCAACACATCAATTTCCCCGATGACGAAGGTGGGTCCTCCCGACTCCATCTCTCCGGAAAAAGGTCACCACTCCGCCACCTCCTTCTGCTCCGGGGCTGGTCGGATTATTCCTATCATTCTAAGTCCCGGATAACCAAGCAACATGTATTGATCTAATGGGATGAGCTCAGCAGCCTCTTCCGTGGTTGCTAGCAACAGAAAAAATGCAGCTTCAGAACATGCAGAATTTTCGTATGATTTGTACTACATTTTGCTGTTGAAAATCAGGTTCCCTACACAATTTATGAGGGCATCTTGTTGAACACATGGGATCCCAATGAAATCTTCCTTTTGAATACACTGGTCATACGAGACAATATCATTCCAGTAATGGACCAACAGTTTGTAATCAGTTGAAATTATGTTGAAAATGTGTATAAAAACAGCCTAATCAGTTGAAGTTATGTTGAAAATTTGTATAAAAACAGCCTCTCCTGTTAAAAAATTGTTGAAAGTCTGTTTACAAACAGTTTACCAACATCGTTCAAAAAAAAAAAATTTAAAAATATTCGTCCGCTACGAATAGTCATCATTTTTTATTATAACAAACAGACACAATATTGTACTGATAAGACTCCGCTTTGGTTGCTGCTCACATTCGAAAATTTAGCGGTGAAAAAAATGAATTACATTGTATTTTGTAGTCTACGTATGTTATGGCATGTGTGGGTTTCCCCGTGTCCAAGAAACAGGGATGATACAGGGGTGATGTCGTCGCCAAGTTTGTACCAACAAACTTTAAACAAAGAGATTGTCAAAGCAACACATGACTCTCACTGATTCTGATAATAATGTTCCGCAACTACATAACTTGCACTGTATTTTTCTTCAATGCTACGTTGGTCGGCAGGTGCGTATTCATTTTCAATATGACTGCAATATTTTATATGATATTACAACGCACCTACCGACTACGACGTGTCAAAAGAGTATACATTGCGAATAGACATGCAGTGTCCGTAGAATATAAGATGATTACTCAAAATCCTTCGTACACTCTTTCACACTCCTTTAGTCATAAAATTGTATTTAAATCAAGAAATTAAGGTGCGATTGTTGTCCGGTGCATTTAATGAAAGGTTTTTGTCTTTTGCAATATATTGTAATTCACAGACACCATTTACCACAAAGAACAAGGAAGTGGTTGTGAGAGGGTCACATGCAGTGTCACATGTTACTCGTACGTGTTCAACATGCAGTGCCATATGTTGAAAAAAGTTGTAGACATCATATTCTCTCTATTTGTGTCCTCTTCTTAAAGTCTATGTGTATCCAATGTTTTTGAGTATGTGTGTATATGAGTGCGTGTGTGTGTGTGTGTGTATTTTTGTTGGAAAGGGGCAAACCACAGAGAGAGAGAGAGAGAGAGAGAGAGAGAGAGAGAGAGAGAGAGAGAGAGAGAGAGAGAGAGCATTCGTTTTTAAAACGAACAATATCATTCACCATCCATCAGTTGCAGCGAACGACATCATGATGTGTATACGAAACCAACACTATAAAGATGCACGAGGAGGAGCAAAGTACACTTACAGTGTCGATTGTGATGTACAGTTTCATTCTAACAACAAAATAAAGATATAATTGCACCACGATTATCGTTTTGGTGAGGGCGGTCTATTTCGAGCACTCCCTATAACGGACACTTGTCATAACATATTCTCTACGAAAAAAAGAAAAACATAAAACGAAAATCGTTCTTCAATATGTTATTGACAAAACGACAACAGTTTGTACAACTACATTCCTAAACAAAAGATTTAGCATGGTATCGCAAAGTTGTCTCCCTTCCTTACTTGCACAACATCATTTTATGTATAATGTAGATAAATTATCTAAGAAGTGGAGGCAAGAATGACAACGTCCAGCCAACTGAATGCAAAAGTAGACCAATGAAAGGGGTTTCAAACTGTATTTCTCACTTTTTGCCTTGCAATTTTTTTTTTTTTTTTTTTTTTTTTT